CCTCCTCCTCCTCCTCCTCCTCCTCCTCCTCCTCCTCCTCCTCCTCCTCCCCTCTTTCCTTCCTCTCTCCCCATATCCTGGAGGAGGCACTCCCGCGCGCGACCCCGCGGGCCTCCTGCATCTTCTCCTTGTCGCGGGCCTCGGCCTCGCCGGCCTGGCGCGCGGAGGGGTCTGGCCCCCACGAGGCTCTGCGCGGAGCCGCTCTCCCTGCTGCTGCACCAACGTATCGGCGGCGAGCGAGGCGGGGGAGGTTCCGGGTTCATATTTTTTGTTTCGGGGGGGGAGGTTCCAGGTTCAAGGTACGAGGTCTTCGCACGTTTACCTCTGTTCTCGACGGTCTTCAGGCCTCGGGGTGCTTGCTGGCAGCTGCGCCGCGCCGAGAGCGTTCTGGAGATGCCCGGAACGACCCAGATGGGCGCCGGAGACCCGCGAATGATCGGAGAACCAAACTCGGCGGGGCGTCGAGGAGGGGGAGTGAGGAGGAGGTGGCGTTCTCAGAAGGCGCGGGGCTTCTCAGAAGCCCTCCGGCCAATTCTGAGGAGGTTATTTGTCTTCGGGGAAGGCTTAGGAAACTCCTCAGAAGGCTGGAGGCCTTCCGAGAATTCTGAGCAGGCCCACCCCCTCTCACCTCCTCCGCAGGCTGGCCGCAAAACGCAGTCTGGGGTGGGCCGTCTCGCCTTCCCACGGCGATCTGGTAGGAAAGCAGAACGCGCGAGCAAGGTCGAACTCGAACTCTTGTGGCACTAATGCAGGCTGAACGGCCTAGGAGGTGCCAAGAAAGACAGAAAAGTGTTGTGGATGCCATGGCAATGGACACTCTAACAATTATATCATTGAATAAAAGATGTGATTAAATGTATAGAAAATGTTAGAAAAAAACGTTTCAACCATGTTCAAACATAGTTAAAAACATGTTTGAAACATATTTTAGACATCTGGAATTGATTTAGCAGCATGCTTTCTCTCCATTTAATCGACTTCCACCAGAGAAGTGGAAAAGCCCGCCAGGGCGATAGTATTGGTATTGCGGTGTCTGCTAGGGAATACGCGGCGGCTCCTCCGCCACACCCCAACCACCATCCTCGATTACACCCCCATCATCCAGTGCAAGGTAAGTGCAAGGAAAGTGCGAACAGCACTGCATCGCGACAGTGCAAGCGCATCTGGAACAGAACCAGTGTCAAGATGCCCTGGGACAAGTGGGTCTATAAAGCGATGTCCTTTTAAGTAGACCTCAAGGCACTATGAACGGCGACGGGCTGTATCGTGGGACACTACACTCCGGCTCCGCGGCGGCTAAAAAGGAGGTGCAGGAGGACAGAGGAGGGAAGAGGGCGGGGGGGCGGAGGAGGGGGGGAGAAAACACAGGAAAGGGTGAAGGCGGAGGAAGGCAGAACGGGGGAGGAGGGAGAAGGAGGAGAAGAAAGAGGAGGAGGAGGAGATAGAAGAAGGGGAGGACGACGAGGGATGTGAGCCTGACAAGGGAGGGATGAGACGGAAGAGGAGGAGGAGGAAGGAGGAGGAGGCGGAGGACCTGTCTTCACCACGACGCCGGCTAGGCCACACTCAGGAGGACCATCTGGTGCACGGGCAGGAAGACGAGGCACCCGAGGGACCTGTAGAGCAGCGCCACAGGGAGCTCCACCGAAGGCTCTAGTGGCAAAGTTCGCATGGCGGCCCCGCCTCATTTCGGCGCACCTCTCACACGCTTCATGGCCCCATGGGAGCTCTACCGAAGGCCCCAGTGGCAAAGTTCGCATGGCGGCCCCGCCCCATTTCGACGCACCCCTCTCGTGGCCCTAAGGGAGCTCCTCCGACGGCCCCAGTTGCAGAGTTCGCATGGCGGCCCCGCCCCATTTCGGCACACCTGCCACACGTTTCGTGGCCACATAGGGAGCTCCACCGAAGGCCGCAATGGTAAAATTCGCATGGCGCCACCGCCTCATTTCGGCGCACCCCTCACACGTTCCGTGACCCCACAAGGAGCTCCACCGACGGCCCCAGTGGCAGGGTTCCAATGGTGCCACCGCACCCATTTCGGCACACCCCTCACACGTTTCGCGGCCCCATAAGGAGCTCCACCGACGGCCCCACTGGCAGGGTTCGCATGGCGCCACCGCACCCATTTCGGCACACCCCTCACACGCTTCGTGGCCCCACAGGGAGCTCCACCGAAGGAGGGGCTCATGTGGCCTCTGCACACAAACAGCACTCATTGTCAAGAAGGAAGAGGCAACCAAAAACTTATGCGAAGTTCTTGCGCGTAATGTGGCAACCAAAAACGTGGCCGCATCTCAAGTATTGTCTTGACGATGCGATGTGCGAATTCAAGTTGGAGAAGGCGCTTGCAGCTGAACGATGCGCACACATCACGTAGCATAACGAATTGAAATCAGCCAAGCAACGCTCACTCCGAATGCCATTGATGCCACACGGCGCTCGGCAAATCAGCTGGGCTTCCGTACAGAACATACGCGTCACCCCGCCGCCAGGACTTGGCATGTGTATGAGCAATTACAAAATTATTCAATATGCGCAAAACACGTGAGAGGTGAAATCTGTGCGATGCATGTGTCTCGCGTTTAGAGTGCAGCAGACAGGCTGCGGGAGGCACAAGGCAGCCGTCGGCTGCGGGAGGCCAGGCGACACCGATGCCCGAACTCCATTCAAGCTGTGAATCGGGCGTCTACTCTTTCCAAATTCCTCCTCTTGCCCCTCTTTGGATCGTATCCTGCTCCCGCCCCACCAGCGCGCCGCAGACCCGACGCTGCCATGGCCGCAGCCCATCTGGCCCAGTCGCCCCCGCGCAGTGGTACCCGGCAGCGCCGTGGAGTTGTGACACACCACGCCACAAGCCCGCCGTGCCTGGCGGCACTGCAGTCGGAACCACCCGGCTGCCCAGCCGCTTCCGCCTTCCTGGCTCAAGCCATCTGGCTGTCAGAGGCGCGCCAGAGGGTGGGGGGTGGGGAGGAGGACGAGCAGGAGGACGAGGAGGCAGGAGGAGGGAGGACAACCAAAGGGGACCCCCCCTGGTTCCAGGCGGGGGGCGTGGACGGGCCGTGGCCCCCCTTTCCCTACTACATAAAATTGGGGGTCGTGGACTCCGAGAGGCCGCGACCCCTGTCGTTTCATCAGGTCCGGCGCCACTGCTGGCGTGGCAGACGGATGAGTTTCGTCGTGCGCCAGGGGGGATCCTCACCTCCACCCTCGAGGCCAGGAAGCGTCCAGCGCCCAGGCTAAACGCGTAGAATTGTGGGTGCAAGGCGCCGCGGGAAACCGCAGGCCTCCCGGGGAAAGTGAGCAGATGTGTGGCCGGCTGGAGACACCCCGAACACAGAACTGTCGGCGTACCACTGTCGCCGTTCTGTGGAGCGGTGCCCGGCGGCTCGCTGTTGAGGCGAGGGGCGCCAGAACGGCCAGACCTCGAGGCGCCTGCCGGCCACGGTCTGCTCAGCGCCCGCCTGGAGAACGCGCTCGGCGCCCTCGGCCTCCGCCATGACGATGAAGCCGATGCTCCCGGGGCGGAGCCGCACAGGGCCCGTCGGCTTGTGCTTCTGCTTCACCCTCGAGTGCATGACCAGCACCCTGCTGACCCGCCCGAACTGCGAGCAGTGATCGACAAGGAGCTGCTCCGACTCGAAGCCCAAGGCGTGGCACCGCCTAGCAACCAGCACGCGCCCGGGGTCCTCCTCCTCCTCGAGCATCTTGAGCTGAGCCCCGATGGAGTCGAACTCCAGCGCCGGCTGCCTGCGCGCGGGCTCTGGGCGGTCCGCGCTGGCGTCGGAGCTTGGCGCCTCGTCGCAGGACGCGCGCGTGGAGCCCGTGGAGGCCCAGCCGCTCCCGGGCAGCTCGCAGCAGAGCGACCGGCCCCCCGGGAGCGCCCAGCGCTCGTGCACGAGCCCCGCGGCTGGCCACCCGGCCGGCGCGCCGGCGCCGCAGGCCTGCGGGCCCGGCGGCAGGGCGACGTACATGGGCTCGTCGGGGCGCGGCTCCGCTGCAGGGCCGCGGAGCGCACGGCAGGAGCCGCCGAGCGCGGCGTGCCCGGGCGCGCCGCCCCGCTCCGGCCGGGGCGGGCCGAGGCCGGGGCGGGCCGAGGCCGACGGCGGCGAGGCCCGCGCAGGGGAGGCCGCGGCGGCGCGGCCGCGGAGGCCCTCGGGCGGCCGCCTCGGGCGCCGCCTCCTCCGGGCGCCGCGGCCTCCGTGCCCGCGGCGGAGCCCGCCGGGCCTGGGGGCTCCGCGCGGCTGCCCCGCTCGGGCGGCGCGCGGCCGTGCTGCCACCGGCCGGGCGGCGGCTCCGGGCCGCGCCGGCCCTCGGCCGCCGGGTCGGGCGGCGGCTGCGGGCCACACCGCGCTCTGGCCGCGCGGCCGTCAGGCGGCATGGCGCGCAGGCGCGGGTGCGTCGGCTGCGCCCGAGGCCGTGGCTGCGCGCGTTGGGTGGAGAGATGCACTAAAAAATCAGCTAAAAAAAGGAACTAGGAAATGAGCTGCTTAAATCCAGCCGCCGGTTTCGTCACCAGAACCGCTCGAGTCAAAATTGCGACGGATGTACTCACAAGCATCTTGTCGGGTCTTTCGCCAGGAACGCAGCCTTGCAAATTTGGGCATTTTCTACTTTTGGGCTTCAAGCTGTATCAAGATGGTGCAAGAGACCCCCCAACTCGCCTCAAAACAATTCCAGAGCCCCCCAAGAGGCTTCTAAAACCACACGCTGGGGCCCCAAGACGGCCAAGACAAATTCCTCAAATAACCCCAAGCTGCCCCAAGAGCGCTGCAAGCAGGATCTAAGAGAGAACCCTGCAGAGAGAACACGATCCCCAAAGATGGCGCACAGAGCCCCAAACTTGCCCCCAAGAGGCCCCCCAAAGTGTGCAAGAGTGGTCGCCACGATGCTCCAAGAGTCTCCGAAAAGGCAACGCCCCCTCCCGCCCGGCTCATCTCCTCCTCAGCCTTCACCTCCTTAACCTCCTCCTCTTCCCCTGTCCCTTTCCATCCTCCTCTTTCTCTTTCTTCTCCTCCTCCTCCTCCTCCTCCTGCGACCTGCTTCTTCTCTTCCTCCTCCTCCTCCTCGGCCTCCTTCTCCTCCTCCTCCTGCTCCTCCTCCTTCTACTCCCTCTGGTCCTCCTCCTTCTCTTCACGCTCCTCTTCCTCCTCCTGCCTCACCGCGTTATGACCATACTCGTGTTCTTCCGCCTCCCCTCCCCCCCCTCGCCTCCCAGGGGTCCCCAAGGCCACCAAGACGGCCAAGGACGGCCACCAAGGCCGCCAAGATGGCTCAAGATGCGTCCAAGCCGCCAACAATGACTTCAACACTGCACAACCTGGCCCCGAGACGGCTCAAGAGAGCCCCAAGAGTACTGCCAAGAGGACCGCGAGAAGCCAACATCGTCCCAACCCCTTCGGGGGACGTAAAGAATCAGCATCTCTGCTTTCTGGGTCTTCGAAGCGTCCAAGACGGACAGAACAACAGGCCATCAAGCCTCCAAGACTCGATGGCGGCTCCGAAACGCCCAAATAAGTTTTTACATGACTTGAGCATTCTGGCCTTCCCGGCTTTGCGAGCACACTGGACGGCCGAAGAGTCCCCAGATGTCTCCGAAATGCCCTAGCAGCCCTGCGGGAACTCCCGCTCTGTGGCGTGAACCTTCAAAATCCACGTCCGGAAATGACGTGTTGCTGGAGGCAGGTCGCGGAGCGGAGCGGAAGCCCTAATGCAACGTATCCGATGTATCCAATGATTGCGTAATTGCTACATGTTACATATTGCATGGTGTTACATTGTTATCTCTCCCCCCTAACCCCCCCCGGAGTCGCGCCACTTCCGTCGACCCAAAGGTGGAGGGCCCCTTGTGGGGCCCAAAAACCTACAAAAACCTATAGGAAATCAACAAATTCGGCCTCTTAGGCCTCTTGGGCCTCTTGGGGTTCCAAGAAAGTTTCAAGACGGCCCAAAATGGCCCCAAGACAGCCCAAACCGGCCTCAAGACGGCCCAAGATGGCCCCAAGAGGGCCCATGAGGCCCCCCAAAAAGTCCAAGAGGCCCCCAAGAAGACTCCCGAGAGCGCCTCCGGAGGCCAAAATCTTTGATTTTCCTTTAGCTCTGGAACAATTTCAACGTTCTCGCCTTTTTCGGCTCTCGGAAGGCCATGACGGCCCAAGCAGCCTCCAAAAAGGCCCCCAAACGGCCCAAGAGGCCTCCAAGGGGCCCCAAGAAGGCCGAAGAGGGCCCCGAGACGGCCAAAAAAACCTCCAAGACGGCCCAAGAAACCCCCAAGACGGCCCCAGAGGACCCCAAGAGAGCCCCAAGGCGGCCGCGAGAGGCTTCCAAAGTGGCCTCCGAAGTGGCCAGACGGCGCAAGAGCGCCCAAAGACGGCGGCTCCAAGACGTCCCCAAAAAGCCCCCAGAGGCTCCAAAGAGGGCCCCAAACGGCCCAGGAGAGCCCCAAGACGGCTCAAAGAGGCCCCCAAGGCGGTCAAAAAAAAAACCCAAGACGGCCCATAAAGACCCCAAGAGAACCCCAAGGCGGCCGCGAGAGGCCCCCAAGACGGCCTCCGAAGGGGCGGGACGTCGCAAAAACGCCCCAAGACGGCCCAAGATGTTCCCAAGAGGCCCCGAGAGGCCCCCAAGAGGCCCCCAAGGAACTCCCCAAACAAAAACCTAGAGGCCTCCAAGAAATCCCCAAGAAGCCTCCAAGAGGCCTCAGAAAAGCCCCCACAAGGCCACACAACGAGTGGAGCGTAATGTTATTCCCCCCCCTGGGCGAACGACGGCGCAGCGCCAGCCAGGTGGAAGTTGGTCACGGCGGCGCCCATGATTAGAGCCGGCGCTGGAAGGGAAGATGGGGAGGGAGTATGAAAAGGAGGGGGGGAGAGGCCCCAAAGAAGCCCCCGAGAGGCCCCAAAAAGCTCCCAAGAGGCCTCCAGGAGGCCCCCAGGGGGCCCCCAGGAGGCTCCCAAGAGGCCCCGCGACGACGTGACTGTACGTGGTCCGGACGTGCACCCCGCGAAGCGAGAGGAATCCACGTCCGGAGGTGACGTGCTGAGCGGCAGTGTTTTCTGCGGAGGCGATAATGCAACGAACCCAGTGTATCCAATTGTTGCATAATGGCCACATATTGTATTGCGTTGTATTATTATGTCCCCCCCAACCCCCCCCAGGGGCTACGCCACATTCGTGGACCCAAGATGGAGACCCCAATTGGGGGCTCAAAAGCGTACCAAAACCATGTAAATCGATGATTCGGGACTTTGGGCCCTCTGGGAGGCCCAATAGGGCCTCAAAACGGCTCCACATGGCTTCAAGACGGGCCAAGACGGCTCCAAGACGGTCCATGATGGCCCCCAAAGGACCCAAGAAACTCCTAGGACGTCCCAAGAGGGCCCAACAACGACCCCCAAGAGTACCTCCAGAGGCCAAAACCAGTAATCCCACCAGCCCTCTGGGCGTAGGTGGTTTAGGGAGTTTCCTCTTCCACCCCTCTTCCAACCCCCTTTCTTCCCCTTTCGGGGAGGGGTTTATCACCGTTCCCTATTAATAAACACCCCCTCCCCCAGGCGACTGGGGGCCAACCAGGGTCCATGCGGACACCCCCTCACCATCCCTTGTTTTTCCAAAAAAAAAAAAAAAAAAAAAAAAACACTCTGCCTCCAAATTCGGAACATGCGCAGCCAACCCAATGCGGCCCCCCCCCACCATCCCTTTCAAAAAACAATACAGAGTACAGTTGGCGGCGGCGGCGGCGGCTGCGGCGGCTGCGGCGGCGGCGGCGGCGGCTGCGGCGGCTGCGGCGGCGGCGGCGGCGGCGGCGGGGGCGGGGGCGGGGGCGGGGGCGGCGGCGGCGGCGGCGGACTTTGCCACTAGAGCCACCCGCCTATGTGGCCACGGGGCCCCACGCAGTCCACGGCAGTGGCAGGGCGTGGCGCCTCGGGCTGGGAAGTGCAGGTTCCCAGCCGAAGGTGCCAGAGCGACAAACCCAAACGGCAATCCAGAACGCACCAGCATTCACACAACAAGGATAGCCTTAGATCAGGCAGGTCCCCCCACAGGGGGATTTTGATGAAGAAGTTCAAACATATTTCAAACATCACGTACGTATATATATATATATATATATATATATATATATATATATATATATACCACACAAAAACAACAACAATATCCCGGCAAAGCAACCTAACAGCGATGTGTAGGAGCATATTTGGAAGCATTCCCCTTAAGATTCAGATGAGAATCCAGTTGTA